AGAGTAGAAACGTTATCAATATTTAGGCATCATGTTGATTTCATATCATCTAAAATTTCTAAAAAAAATCAATTTTTTGAAAAGAATAGGAAAAAACCTGTCGACATATGTGAAATTTTTGTTGTTCAAATCAATAATAATGCCACATTTTGAATATTACTCCACATTGTTATTTGGTTTGACTAAAGAAAAAATTAAAAAATCACAAAAGTTACAGAATAGAGCCATGCGAGTCATTTCAAAGTGCAATAGGTATACCCTGTCAAAATTATGCTGAACTCTTTGGAACTAATGTCTGTAAAACAAAGAATACTCTTTGCTTCATATATATTCATATTTAAAATAAAAAATCAATTGCTTCCATGTAATACAATAAAAAATGTTACATATGTCAGTGATGTGCATGAGTATAATACTAGAAATACTGATAGTTTTCATATCAAAAGTTGTAAGCTCTCTAAATCCGAAAATAGCATATACTATGACGGATTTATGGCTTTCAATAATTTACCAAATATATTGAAAACTAGTACTAGTATAAAGATATTTAAGCGTGATCTTAGAAAGTATATTTTAAATAATGAGATAGGTACATAATTAAAAATTGAGGGTTCGAAATATGTAGATTTTTGCATAGCTTCAGCTAAATAAATATTATTTTTATTATTATTTACGAATCCTTCATAGTTAGTCAATACTGAGACTCTCAATCGAAATATCGAAATTGTTCAAATAAAACAATCAGAGAGCTATCTATACAAATGCTGTCAACGAAAACGTAAAATATCACTTTCGAGAGTGAATATTAAGTAATTTCCGGAGGCTGCGGTAAGGCATTCGTAGAGACAAAGTTCTGAGTTGTTCGAATGAAATGTCTACAAAGCCTCTACCTACTCTCACTGAACTTGTCACGAGAAAGGAATTTAGATTGCTCGAGAGATAATAATAATAATATTTATATCAGTAATAATTTATTTAATTCAAGAAATTATTGCTATAAATACAATAAAAATTAATTCGTCAGAGAAAAAGGAAAAAATCAATTCATTTCACATTACAACAAAAAACTAATAAATTCCGCTATTGAATAAGGTTCACACTCCAAAATCAACTTATATAAGCTTTTTCTGAAAGAATTAGGCCTAGATATACATTTGAAATATTTAAGAAACGCTTAATCTCTGTTAAGCCCATATAGAGAGGTATTTTTCTCAAAATAACATGAATGAAGGTACATAAACATCAAAACTCTTAATATATATAAACCAAACAATGTCAGAATACCATTAGTCCTAAAACTTCCCCTGCATGATTCCCGATAACTGAAACATAACATTGTAGACTATTGTCTTAAGAATATCGATTCCAGTAATGCACAACTTCGCCAAAAAATTAACCCATACCATAGCAGTGATTGCAAGTTAGAAAAATAAAGCATTTTTACAATTCAAAATCAACTCTACCCTTCAAAACACAAACACTGTAAATAACTGAGTTCAGCTTGGACGTAAGATTGGCAAGGTGCTGGGCCCACTTCAAGTGTTTGTCCAAGTGAACACCAAGAAAGCGAGTGGAATTGGAGACAGAAATCTGTGTATTGATCTCACCACGAATTTCCGCTGAAGAGCATTCGCAACAGGACACCACACATTCAGTCTTAGCCGTGTTAGACGGTTTTAATGCACCAAGCATCAATATCCTTCAACATATTACAGGCCACTTCAATTGATAACTTCAAGCTGCAGGAACTCAGCAGTAAGTTGGAATCATCAGCATACAAAACTAAATCTGCAAAAACACTATGCATGACATAACCACGAAGTACCAAAGGAAGATCATTGATATACACGAGGAAAAGAATCGGTCCGAGACTGTTATTGACAGTTATCTCAACAGTTTCTGATCTGTTATTTAAATAACTCTCTAGAAGTTTCAGTTGCCTGTCTCTCATCCCGTATTGCTCAAGCTTCCTCAAGAGTATGTCAACATCCACACAATCAAACGCCTTTGAAAAATCCAAAAATACCCCTATTGGTAGTTCATTCCTTTCCAACGCATGCAATATTGAATGGTACAATTCAAAAATAGCTGTATCAGTGCCTTTTCCTTTAACATAGTCATGCTGACTAATAGACATGTTCTTGAAGTTTTTAAAGAAGTTAATCAACATTGATGCAAGAATTTTCTCGAATAACTTAGCAAATGCAGAGAGGAGGGCGATGGGTATATAGCTATTAGGATCATATGGATCTTCTCTTTTGAATATAGGCTTTTCAATGGAAATCTTAGGTCATCAGGAAATACACCCTCAATGAATGACCTGTTCATCACATGAGCCAAAGGTCTTGCTATTAAGCTTATACATGGCTCAACTAAATGAATTGGTATACCATCCTATCCCGCAGATTTAAAGTTTTGATCTTTCTAACTTTATCAACAATTTCGCTTGTTGATACAGTTAGAACTATTGTTAATAACAATAGTTAATGCTATTGATCGTAACAACGAATTGTTGTTACGATCAATAGGATTACAACTGAAAGTACTTGGAGGTATATTCTCTTTAAGTGTAGTTTCTATATTGACAAAAAATTGTTAAATTTGTCTACTAATTCTTGAGGTCTTGTGCTTCATTCTGAATTTGAGATGCAACTTCCCTTTTTTATCAGATGTTTGATTTAACAATATTCCATAATGTTCTCGACTTGTTAGTGGATTTTTCAATAGCCTCCCTGAAGTGCTTCAGGCATTCCCTCTTTATCAAAGTATCATAGTTGCGTTGATGCTTTTTATATGCTGTAATATATTCATCAGAGTTCCTAGATAAGATGAACAGATAGTCCAAAATATTCTTCATTTCCTAACCTGATTTCATTTATAAAAATTTTTCCTGAATTTACAGACATTTACCATCTTCATGGGGAAATTAGATTCAAAGTAATCCTTGAATTTGATGAAAAAGGATCTCCAAAGTGTATTGACATCACTATGAAATCTACACACATGCTAGACCAATCGTGATCAGATAGAGCATTTATAAATGTCTTCATTCTATCCTGATTGATGATCCTGACTTTCTTTCGCTCCAACGTGTTAGCTTCAAACTAAGCAGCGTAGAAAAAAAATCTCTGAGCTGAATGGTCAGATATATGCTCCTCAAGAACTGAAGCAGAACCCAAAATATTTGTTATAATATTGTCCAAACACGTTGCCGACTTTTTATAAATTCTAGCTGGTTCTTGAATCATCAGTTTCAGTCCAAAACTTTCCAACAATGACGTGAAACTTTTGGTTTTAGATGTATCACAGAGCAGGTCTATATTAAAATCACCAGCCAGTAATACATCAGCCCTTTCATGTAAGCTTCATGATGATATTTGTGACAGCTTTCCAAGAAAAATATCAAAATTAGCACTAGTGGAATTTTGACGATACATACATATCATAATAATACTTCTGCCATTTAAACGTAATTGAACAGCACAGCACTCGATGACATAAGGAGCACTGCATTTATTGATGTCAACTCTGACCCTGAGACTTAAATTGTTCTTATGGAATAAAGCACAACCTCCATGTTCACCTTCCTTCCTTCAAAACTAGAAGCCATATTGTAAGGTAGCAATCTATAATGAAGAAGCTCATTGTAACTTTTCCAGTGTTCAGTATCTGCTAAGAAATCTACATTGTGTGACTCAATAGCATATTGCAGCTTCAATAAAGGAAGATCTTACAGATTGAAGGTTCTGATGAAATAAACAAAAGGCACGCTCACCTTGACGAATTAGGCGTTGAACCTCGACTTTCCTCTCCTGTACGAAAAAAATTTTTGAATTTGAATTCTCATGAAAGAACAACCATCGGCCAAGATCCAGGTTCCAATAGTAACTTGAATAACATATACTTATATAATATAAGTCATCCGACGGCACACCAACCTAAAGGCCGAATTTGAACCCTTAGTTTGAAGTTTTTCTAAAAACAAAATCATCAGTATCTGAAGAATTCAGAAATAAATTTTTCATATCAGTTACCGTTGCATCATTTCCACTAATTTGGCCCACGTACAAACATTTTCTTTTCACAACTCCTTCGACCTTAGAAGTTGGATTCACTTCTTTTGTTCCTGTCAATAAAATACGATGTTGTTTGCTTGGCTTCTTTTTAACTATAGTAGCCCAAGAAACCTCATTTTGATCATCAACATTAACTTTTACTTCATTTACATTCTTAACAATATTACTTTGGTTTCCGTTATTATTAATTTTCAATTGTTGAGATTGTTCAGAAGAATTCAATTTACTTAGATCATGATTTACACTTACAGAACTATTATATAAATCATTACTTATTATCCTTCGATTAAGATCATCAGTTACATTATGTTGAACGGAATCAACATCCCTGTTTATTACAATGCTGGTACCTATGCATTGAGGAGACACGCTTTGAGAGATTATCGTTGATATCTTGTTTATGTTTTTTGCTCGAGACAGATTTACCTCCGATGCCATCGATTCTTTGTGAAAGCAAAGCATTATTAAATTTCAGAATTTCTTTCTTTTCATTCGCAGAATTCAATAACAGATTAAGAAAATGCATTTTTGTTTCTAATAGTTCCTTTTTAAGGTGTCACCTGACATGCTTTCTCGGATTTTTGAGACAATAATCATTAATCACATTCTTGAGGCCGGCAACAGTTTACAAAAAAACCACTAATAAATCAAACATTGTCCATATGAAAACACTGCACTTCTTAGCGCAACAGGCAAAATTTTCAAAATTTTTTCGATCATTATCACATTCATTCACAATGAACTTCTAGGAGCTCACTTCAGAAGCGTCGTCACTATCATATATATATATATATATATATATATATATATATATATATATATATATATATATATATATATATATATATATATATATCTTCATGATATATGATATATGACGACGCTTCTGAAAATTCCTAGAAATTGAAATTATTTCAAAAGTTTTGAACTCGACTGGGATTTGAACCCAGGACTTCAGGTTTACGCCCCACTGCTTGGAACCGCTAAGCTACCGAGGTCTACACTTTGAGATGCAATTTCAATTCATATCTAACAACTCTTTTATTCCTCAAGCTAGTTATTCGACGCTCGGATTGTCTTCTTCGATACTTGCAGGCGAAAGTGGGTTCGATCCCAGTCCAGTTCAAAACTTTCGAAATGTAATTTCAATTCTCAATTTTCACTAAAAGTTTTCGCTGTATGGACTGCAATACTAAATTATTAAAAAAAAATTGTGAAAAAGTTTTTTGCGCGAGTACATAATGTGAGCCTATCGTAAACAGCGTATTTAATGAATACTGCAAGAAAATGCTATCAAAAAATGTGGATTCTGTATCATATACATCTATTCTATCACAGCCATCGAATCACAATGAAATAAATCTTTATCCAATTTTAGTAAGGTATTTAGATATTAAAAATGGTATTCAAATTAAGATTTTAAATTTGGAATCAATCGAAGGGGAATCATCAGACATTTTGTCTAATCACTTATTTCGAGTTATAACAGACAATTTGAATATTAATTTTGAAGACGCCCCCATAAGGGGCCGTCCATTAATCATGCGGGGCTCGAAAGGGGAGGGGGTCCATAAAAAAATCACGAAATATCACAAGGGGGAGAGAGGGTGTAGTAATTTATCACACGTATTTATTTTTTCGGCAAACGCGCGATACTGAACCGAAAGGGGGCGTTACGTGTATTAATTTTTTCGTCAAACGCGTACAAATTTGAGAGCGGCTTGCAATGTGGCCTTGATTCACCGTTGCCAGGCAACGAAGGAAGTTAAGTTCCCGCGACCCGCGACAAGAGCTTACCTTACTCAGCTTGCCATTGTTAGTTTATTCTGTTGTTTTAGCACTGAATAAAAAAGCAGGGATTTGAAATTTCGAGATGTGGCACGTACCTTCGTTTGCTTCCAAGAAATTATACCTCCATGGAGGGTAAAACATGTAATCACTGTACCTGTCAAACTGAGTCGCCCTGAGGCAGATCGCCATAAAGCTCACGTCGATCAACATTTTTGTGTGAAAACATTTTGTAAAAATAAAATATTATCTATTACAAAGTCGCACGTAATCAACAAGAAGTTAATGAAATGTAGTTGATGAAGTCAACGAAAATAAAATTCTAATCAATTGCAATAGTAATATGAAGTAACCAAATGGAACAAAACTAAAATTAAAATATTATATATTACAAAGTCATATGAAAAAGCTGAAATGTGAGTCTTTTTGAACTGCAATACCGCAAGAGTCTTGCAGCTCAGTCTTGTTCTTGCGTAGGTCTTGGAAGCTGAGTCTTGGTCTTGGTCTTGCATTCAATTAGACGGTCTTGGTCTTGTTCTCGAAAAAATGCAAGACCAAGACCAAGACTTTTTGGGCAACACTATACACAAAATAAAAATATCTCCTAAAACGAAATATTTTCGGAATTGGTTGTAATGCTCACATTATATCAAATGCCATCAATACAGCATCAAGTTCAATGTCAATAGATGTGGAAGTAATTATTACAAATATATATTTATATTTCAATCGGTTTACAGTACGGGTAGCAAGTTTGAAAAAATTTTGTGAAGATGCTGGTGTTCAATACAAAAAACTGCTTGGTTATTAACTCCAGCATTAGAACGCGTTTTGCATTTAAATGATCCACTACGTTCATAATGTTTAAGCCTTGACAAATGTCCTACAATTTTGAAGAAATTCTTTCAAAACAATATGTCAGAGCTATGCTTTATTTTATTCACAGTCAGGCGTGTTTGTTTCATAAAAGTACTCTACAAATTGAAGGAGATAACATTTCAGCAGCAGAAGTTTCTATTCTATTAAATGATTTCATATGCAATGTGAATCAAGTTTTAATGATGGTTTTCTACCACTAATTCCAAAGAATAAACTGACCGTTTTGGAAGATTCCAATCACGGAATAAAAAATTAATTTTCAAAAGAAATTAAAAATTTTTATAAAATTTACTATAAATAGTTGAATATAAACATAAAGTTCAAACACTTGAACTTATGATTTACACTTTATTTAAATGAAGTTTATATTCAATTATAATGGATTTACATGAAGTAAACGCCAACACTATTAAATATTGCTATTAATATTTCGAAGAATACATAGTGAACTTTAGAGCATTAAATTGTTTCAAATGGACCCTTCTAAATAGTAAAATTTAATGAAAAGAAGTTTCTTCAGCAGTCGAATTTGTAATGAAGGAAGTAAAAGATATTGTCATTAATGACAATGTTCTCTTTGAAGAAATTCGAAGAGTAAATTTATATTTAAATGAAATAAAATTGAAGAAATGGAATGATGAAAAAATAGAACTTGATAAAGATGTGTAGAAATATTTCGGCAGTTTAGAGTAGAACACAACCCACATGAAAATTTAAAAGTGTTAATAGAAATTTCCTTATGTTGTCCAGGCAGTAATGCTGTTGTCGAAAGGTTATTTTCACTATGCAATGATTATTAGTCCATTGAAATGTTACATTGAACCTTGCATTTATCAGAGGACGCAATTTTATTGTTGGGACATGTGGGCGGGGTTGCTAGAAGCTTAACTCTGAGTTTGTGGGGTTGTAACCCTTGTCCCGCGGCCGCCATATTGGAAAAGGGGTGTAAACGCCTTTTTATCCATATCTCTTAAACTATATATCTCACCAAAAATTTGTGAAGATATAATTTGTAGCAAATCGCTTTGTCTACAATTTTGTCTATCTAACTTTTTCCGATAAAATTGAAAATAAAAAAGTTATTAACAAAAATATGTGAAATTTTTTCCAAAAATTTCCTCTTTTGTGTTATAACTTTTTTTTTTTCAATTTTATCCGAAAATTACCTAAAACCAATATTGTAGGCAATTCGATAACAAACAATTTGACCTATAATTTTTTTTATTTACATGCATTTGCGAGGGTTTTGGAGCGCTCCAAAGCCGACTACTCGCAACAATCTGGTCACAATGGAACGTTAGATTTACTTATACATTATTCTTTTATTTTAGATATCGTTCTTAATATTATTTGCAACATTATTATATTATTATTTAATTCTAACTGACCCTTTTCTACACCACCTATGAGGTAGAGTCCATGGTGCGTTTTTTTTATGTGGTATCCCCAGTAGGCCTAACCCACGCGGAACTGTAGAGTGAGATAATCTCCAAGAACTTAATATATTTCAACAATTAAGAAGTGACCAATTTCCAGACCGTTCTGCTTCGAGAAAATGTTTCAAGAGAGTGACCAATCTGTAGTATTGTACCCATAGAGTCGCTGTTGGGCCTTTACTCTCCAACATGGTCAAAGTTTCTTCAAATTTGGTCGAGACTTGCTTGAATACAGGATTATGAATTGATTCTAAAACGTTTGTTCGATCGATATCAGTAACTACGTCATCAAGGAAATCGCGTTCTTCTTCAGTGAATTCTATGCAGTCTATAATTATTTTACTCATTGATAAATGAACCAACAAATGAGCACGCACAGCTCTACCATATGCATGTCCAGATATTATGTGCTGAACGCAGTTTTCCGCATAAATCAGTTTAAATATATCTTCGAGTCCACTGCCAGACATGATGTATCCAATTCCACCAATGAAGGACATCAGTAAGTGGAACCCACCTAATCGAACAATCACTTTTGATAGGTCTGAAGTAGGATCAGCAGCAGCAGTTATGTTTCGGGCTTTCCAATAGAGTGGTTGATCAAATGTCACAATGCACGCTGTTTGGTTTGAAGCCTTGCATTTCTCGATCGAAAGCAAAAGTGATGTTAAGATAGTGTCATAATCGGTTGGGGGAGCGTTTATAAATGGTAAAAATAAAATACGACTTCTCTGAAAGGACTTTTCAGCAGTTGCTTCAATCATGAAGCTGTTCCATCCACTGATGTTTAGAGCGCAAGACCATTTACCATACAGCCACATTAAGTCACATGCACGAGGAACTATCTTTTGGGCTGGTGATGTCATATTTTCTATTAATACGACATTTATTGTTCCCAATCCAACTGTTTTGCCTTTTGAGTAAGATGACAGAGGAATCGATTTTTAATCGATTTCATTAGATCTGACATTTGGAATTGGCACTCTTCGCTATTTTCATGTAAATATGTAAAAATATACTCCATGGCAATGTCAATGTTATATTTACGGTCATCGCATTGCTTTTCACGCCACCATTGTTTGGAGTACAATTGCTTGCTACAAACCTTGTGATATTTGGCTCCAACATCTACTAAGCTGGGTACATTGGCTATACGATCAACAATGCCCTTTGCCTCGTCGTCAGATCGTCTGAGAACAAGGTCCAGAATGCTTTTTTTTTGTACCTTCATTGCGTACCTGACAGATCGTCCTCTGCCGGCTTTGACGCAAATGACTCTGATCTGCAAATGTTTCTGCACAAATGAAGCAATTAAGCGAAAAATCAAAATCTGTCTCTACAATTTCTGAAACTGAAGATGATGAACTGCTACTGCTCAGACGACGAACGACATTATCCGTTCGACTATCATTGTAATAATGGTAACATTGCGTATGTACAGTTACTTCCCAAACAGTTTGTAAAAATTGTTCATTTTCTACATCGTTTTTGGCTTTTGCTCGATCAAGCAACGTTTTTACTCCTCTAGCTTTCACAGTTCTTATTTTGTCATCCCCGAGAGGCTTTTTACAAATAAAACAATCACTCATGATGAACTATTAAAGAAAGCCACAAGGTTATCACTAAATGAAAAATTCTGCACGCAAAACTCTGAATTATATCTACTTAATTGAAAATAGTGTTCACAATTTTAAATCGTCTACACGTGGTGAGATACGTAGCACAACTCAAAAAAGAAATAGAGGAGAAAACAGCTGAACCTTGGAAGGCAAATAATAAAAAAATAGCAGGCAGATGTTAACTTGTCCCCAAACGGTAACTTGGACCTTTTCTACCTGCTTCGAGTTCTTGTAAATGTACAGTCGCATTAGAAATTATTTTAAAAAAGTGGTAAGA